AAATCAACAGCCGCCTTCAAAACTGCAAGCGATCCTCATGCGGCAAATAAAGTCTTATTATTCAAAGTGGACGTAAATAGTTCATATGGAGAATAATGCAACAAAAATGACCCACTTTAAGTAAAATTTGTTCGTACTGTTGATAAAGCTTTGATTTAAAAATAAATAAAAAAATGACAGTACTTTTACCAGATCAACGTACACGATTAATAGTTAAGCTTACTTACAAGAAGTTTCCTTTCCAATGCGAACCTTCATCATAAATAGCTCAATTCCAGCTTCAGCGATGAAAAACAGCAGCAAGAATCTATGGACACCGAGGCGCCGTTAAATCGTCCTTATTTTTTCATCAAACATGGAATTTTCAAAGGTAAAAAAGCCTGCTGTAGTTTCAAACTGCCGCCATGTTGAAAGTCAGAGTATTTGACCTACCAAACTCATTGAACTTTTTACCGCTGGTGATTTTACTACGGGCGCACAACTTTTTTGTAAACCAGAAAAGAGCGATATGAACGATAAGCTTATGGGTATGGTGGGTGTGTATGTATGTTTGCCCTGGTTCACGACTAAACCTTCACGCCATCGCGGATAACAGGATGCAGAATCAAGAGGAATCCCTTTGTTACAGCCCAAACTTGTGAGTGGTATTTATATTTCTGCCTTAACCACACTATCACTTGTGTGCCACTCTGCACCGAAAAAACTTTCAGAAAAAAAATTTCAGCTGTTGATGTACGTTTTAATGGTTAGGCATTTTAACTGATTATTTTTTTGTTTTGTTTTGTAACACAAAAATTCAGGAGTTTATGATAAAGCTAAAGAAACAAATAATTTGAAAGATGAAGGCAAAAAACACTGGAAAAAGTCCTGAAAAGCGAAGACGTCCAGTGAAAAGATTGGTAGAAATATCTGAAGATGCGTATAAACTAAAGCTTCCAGAACAGCTGAACTACAACCTAGATATTCTGTTTGAAAGCATATTGATGCATCTAATATGGCGGTCTGGAGCTTCAGAGAAAAAAAGTGGATCAGAAACATTTTCATTTCAGCACGAGAGTCTCTGACATTACTTTCCTAGACTAGTGTTAGAGTTGGAGATTAAGTTGGACGTTTAGTTATACATAGCGGTTACTAGATAACTAATATGTACACTAACTTTGGACAAATTTATCGCTCCTTTCTCTTGCAGGTTGGAATAAATCCAGGTTTGATGGCAGCTTACAAGGGATACCACTATGCGGGAGCAAATAATCAGAGTCTGTGGGTAAATTATTTAATGTATCCATTTTCAATATTTCACCACTTGTTCATTTAAATTGAAAAAACGTTCTAAAGAGGTTCAGTTCTAAGATTCCCTATAATTTTTCATATTCCTGGGAGATTAAGTTAAGGTTACTGTCGACAAAATCTGCTAAAATTTTCAAAATGTCGTTTATTTGCTCTTGAGTTAGTGAAATCATCTAATTTTAATTTGTGGAAAGAAAAAAATAGGGAAATCTTAAAAAAAGAATGTAGGATACCGCTGAAATAGTTTTTTAGGGTACCTAGTACCCAATACTGAAAGGTGTAATAAAACGAAGTTTCCAGCAGAGAATTGACATTCTTGGCAGACTTTTGTCCAGAATCTTCATTTGCACATTTTGTTTAAATTGTGCATTGCATTGCACAAAAGAAGTGAATTTTACATTCCTCAAAACATTGAGAAGTAAGAGTCTCCATGAAACGATCATAAAGAGAAGTCACTTTGTGGCAAATCCAAGAGAAAGCCTAGCCCAAGAAATCGAAGGCAGAAGATTTTGATGAAGCAAGAATACCTGACCTTACTCTTTGATCCACGAGTCTGGCCAAGAAGTTTAATATTGCCTCTCATTGGTTAGTGGCATGACCGCATCGACACTCACAAAAAAATAGGTGTGAAAACTGTCAAAGGTTTTTTTTTACGCAACTTTACCTCTACTTAAACAAAGTAATAGTGTATGTAGTTTTCTTCGGATTTTGATTTAACTTGGCCAGAACATTCTTTAGATATTTACTGATGCAGAAAAGTGTGCGATGCTTTAACATTATGTGTGATTTCCCGAATTATGACGACAACTTAAGTAGTTTATAGGGAGCTAAGGGAGAGTCTGGTGTCAAGGTACCGTGAGGGATGACGGAAACAAGAAGAGCAAAAAGAAAGCAAGGGTCACTTGGTAAAAATGGTGCACCTGGAATGATGGGAATAAAAGGAGCAGTGGACCGCCAGGAATCAAGGGTGTGAAAGGAGAGCAGGGATCTAAAGGAGAGAAAGGAGAAATCGTGAATAGTGCAGTGTCACAGACCAACTGGAAACATTAAGATTGTGGAAAGATCAAAGTCAGGAAATATCAAGAAAATCTTTAATTTATTCCCTATATTATCATTATAAGAAAGTTCTCTGCACCAATACAGTTTTATTTTGTGTTCTTGTTTTTTTTTTCCACCCAATCAGTATATATTTTTCTTCTTTCCAGAAATCTATTTTTTGCTGTCAGTTTTCCTAGGATTCCAGGGTCGAATGGCATACCAGGAATGCCAGGAATTCCTGACGCCCCAGGGCTTCAAAGACAACAAGGAAAAGATGGAGCTAAGGGGAAGCCTGGTGTCAAGGGACCGTAGTGACCGGGGTGCACCTGGAATGACAGGATTAAAAGGAGATAAATGTTATGTAGGTTGTTCACGTGGCAGATGCTTTTGAAACTCTTTACACTGGCCAATTTACGTTATCAGTTCAGCTGATAAAACCAAATAATCCTGTAATACCCCTGACCGACGCAGTACCACGTTACAAAATTACCCTCTTTGAATATCTAAGGGCTTCGCCACCTTTTACTGCTGCATTTTCTGATAAAAAAATTGTTATCTGTGATATTTGAAAAAGGGGTCAAGCTAACGAATGCTATCACCTATGTCCTAAATCAAACACGTTACTACGCCAGTTTAATCAGATGCTCAGTTAGAAAAGTATTTGAACATATAGGGGAAATAGCTTGAGCAAACTGGGTGGAAGGCACCATGAATCTTGGATTTCATAATCTTCTTATCTTATGTAACATGTCTTGCTGTTACAACTCTAAGCCTAACTAACCCTCACTAACTACTATCAAAAAGATATGCAAAGATATTCTCCCTTGGTTGTGTTTTCTTAACCTTGGAAGTTGACACCACACCTGTGCACCATGTGAGATAGCGGCACATAAGACTGTGTAATAATCTGAAGCATTCAAGGCGGCTTACATTCTAGAGATAAACTCCGTTATCCGAAAAAACAGATGTGACCCTTAGGCTGATAAGAAACATGTTTGTTTTCCACTGAGCCTGTCTTCTCGGCATATTTTACGGGATTGCTCATTTAACGAGCTGCGGTCTGATACAACTATTCTAATTATTCATTGCAGCGAGATAGCGGCACATAAGATTGTGTGAAAAATAATCTGAATCATTGAAGACTTACATTCTAGAGATAAACTCCGTTATCCGATAATGGTAATAGATGTCACCCTAACGCTGATAAAAAACCTCTAAGTCTTGTAGAAATTATCGTTCTTAATTTTAACTACACGACACGAGTCTGCAACTTGTACCATTAATACACAAAAGGAGATTTTGGCGATGAAAATATATCTCACCGCCTCAATATAAGCATGAATACAGTAATCGACCATGGAAGAAATAAACATAACATCAGGCGCTTCAGAGTCCGCAGAACGCTCTCCTAAACATCGAAGGGCTTGACCCTGCCGCAGTTTGTGAATTAAAACATTGTTATCTGTGATATTTAATAGCGGGTCAAACTAACCAATGCCACCATGGGTGCCGGTTCGTGCCAATTTTTCAGCACCATGTCGATGGACGCATAGTAAGTGTTCATCCGGTGGTGCGATTACGGTGTCAGCTGCGTTTGTCCTTGCACGTGTTCACCTACAAGGTCTTGAATGCTGCGCGATGGCGTTTGTCTGAGTGCCCTGGCTTCCCGTAATTCAAACTGAGAACTGGTTTACTACTTCTTAATTTTAAGACTCATTGCTGACACTATCTGCCATACGCTGTTGGAACTTTCTTGACTATGACACTGGCATAAGGTCTGAATGGTTATGTGTGCAGATGACATCGACCGTCTTCCCCTAAAGATATCGGCACAGACTATAAGTGTTGCTCAGAATTACTCTCAGCACTCACAATCCGCAGACGAATTAAACTAGCTTTACCACACCTACTTAAGTTTAAATTAATAAATGTCTCTTTGAAAGAAAAAAAAAGACGAAAAGAAACATGGAAACTTTTTGTAAAAATTGGCATTGCCAAAATTTCTTTTGCTGCATTAAAAATCTGAGTTGCCTAAAATTTGGGAGGCGGAGGGGTGGGGGGTTGACAGCCTCCCAGCTCCCCCGGCCCGTTCGCTTATGGGTGCTATCACCTGTTTCTTCAATCAAACACATTTAAGTTTCAGTTAAATTTGATATCATTGAGACGGGTCTGCAATTTGTACCATCATTGAAATGTCGACAAAATCTAACACACCACCTTATGATCAGTTTGAGTCTAACATGCGGCATTTGTAAATGTCTATACTATTTTAGAATGGATTCAATAACATGAATACCGAAATCGAGCTAAGGACAAATGAACATCATATCACAGACCATATCGAACTTTTTTTCTCAATATTTCTCGTTTGATCCGAGTAGGTAGATTTTGTGGCCCAGATTTTTCTGCGTAATTTCCTAAACATGAGTGAAACATTGGTCTGTTAGTCAGTGCGTGCTTCAATAGTGAACTGATAGGGATATCACAGTCAAGTTGTTGACCTGGTGTGTGAGTTCAAGTAGCTTCAGACATCCTTATCATTTAGCTCCAGCGCTTTTTAATTAAGGTTGTTATTTTATAATGAAATTCGGTGGGATATAAATAGGCGAGTACATTAGGAGATATATATTTCAGTCATAGAACACGAAATATTCACGCAAAGTAACCATCGGAGTATGGCGAAGCTTCTGATCCTCGCTGTTTTGTTATTTTTCTCATCCAAAACAGGAGTAAGTTCCGTGGGAACAACCACCAGTCCTCAACAACAGAATCCTCAAGCTAGCGCTGACAAAGACCCATGTGAGGTACTCTTAAGCATGCTTTATCCACGATTATTTACTACAAAATCGCATGTACTTCATGAAGCGTTCATTTGTCATACCTCAGTTTACCACTCATGTCTACCAAGCTAAGCAAAAAACAAATCCCTCATCAATCATGAGTTTCAAAGACAAAGGAAGACATTTCTTGAAAAAGTTTTCTTTTAGGAACATCTCCACAACGGTATGAGATCATCCAATGTTCCGCGCTGTTTCTCCTAAAACGAAGCTGAATTCTCAACATGATTAGCATCTGAAGAAACTGCTGAGCTACTTCGGCGGACACGTAAATATTAATAAACATTACTGATGTTTATTGATATGTACGTGTCCTACGAAGTAGCACAGCAGTTTCTTGATGTACGGTACATCCATTCAATAATTATATGTTCTTTCTTCTTTTTCAGAAATCCATTTTTGCTCACGGATTTTCTGGGATTCCAGGATCGAATGGCATACCAGGAATGCCGGGAATTCCTGGCGCTCCAGGGCCGCAAGGACAACAAGGAAAAGATGGAGCTAAGGGGGATCCTGGTGTCAAGGGACTGAGAGGTATGACGGGAACAAGAGGACAAAAAGGAAATGCAGGGTCACTTGGTAAAAATGGTGCACCTGGAATGATGGGAATAAAAGGAGATAAAGGTGACGAAGGATCACGTGGCAGCAGTGGACCGCCAGGAATCAAGGGTGTGAAAGGAGAGCAGGGATCTAAAGGAGAGAAAGGAGAAATCGTGAATAGTGCAGTGTTACAGACTAACTGGAAACAATGTGTGTGGAAAAATCTGAATGATAATAGAGATAGTGGAAAGATTAAGGTACAGAAATATTTAGAAAATGCAATGAAAATGAATTAAGAGTTATAGCCGAATTGTCATGGCCATCTCTGAAAGAGACTTTTGAGAAATGCAGCCAAACTAAAAATATCAATTAACAATTCTGTGCATGCTGGCAGCAGGAAAAGGTCATCATAAAATTGTTTCCTATAATATTATTATAGAACTTCTTTTTTTTCTAAGACTGTATTCATGGCATTTTTTATAGGATTGCTCATTCAACAAGCTGCAGTCTGATACAGCCATTAAAGTCTCATTCCAGGGAAATATGAGAGTACACAGCTCTTCTAAATGCAACAGGTGGTTCTTCAAGTTTAATGGAAATGAATGCAGTGGACCAATGACAATTGAGGCTGTTGTGTACAACGCCTGGGCATCTGGGAGTCCTGATCTGCTTCATCACAGATCATTTGAGGGATACTGTGAAAACATTCCACAAGGCAGGGTTACTGTGGAGTTATGGGTAGGACAGTGTCCAAGTGGCAATAGACTGGGTGATGCTTACACTGGATGGCAATCAGTATCACGGATAATGATAGAGGAAGTGTCTAGAGCCCAGTCCTGATTACTTCCGTCGTTTTCATAAAAGGAATGGTGAACAATGTTTTATTGTTTCATAACTGGCCTTGCTTTCTAACTTTTTGTCACCAACATCTTTTTCACTAAACATTATTCCTACATTTTTTGTGATTGGGGTATGAGATAATAGGATTTCATCATCTGAGTTCATAGGGTTACTGATTTTTTTTAAATTGCAAGTCAGACTTCACCGAGAAGGAGAGACTGCTCATAGCTAGTCTATCACTAACAAATATTTACCAAAGTGGAGGTTGCTGGTGGAAGATATTTTCCGAGCTACGAAACGGGGAAGAAAATATCCGCACTTGCCACCCACACTGAGTTGAATGGTTGTTTTAGTAAATTAGTATATACTAAAACAGTGAGTTAATATAGCACAAAAAGAACACTCATTTATTCTTGCAATGACTACAATAATTTCTGGTGCAAATCTGCAAATCCTGCGCGCTTTGCTTAGAGGTGAATAAGAAAGGAAATGCAGAATTTGAGTGGCCAATCAGAGCGCGATTTCAACGCTATCCACTGTCTTGGTATATCCTAATAATTTTTTTTATCATCATTGTAATTATTAGTACTATTATTACCATTAATGTTAATGTCGAAGTACTTTTTAAAAAAGCACAAAGAAGGCAGTGCCTATCACTAGCTTCAATTTGCTCGTGCTCAAACATTCTGAAGGTAAAATTGAGTATTTCAGTCACTATTCATTGACCGGCCGACCTAGTCAAGTGACAGATAATTAGCGGTTCCGGTTATTAATTAGAACGTACCTCACATTGTTGGTCACAGTGTCCTTCTAACTTCCTAGAAGCTAGTTTTTGAAATGGGAGCGGAGGGTCACTATGCTCATTTATGAAAAAAGGGTTTACTCTGGTATACATGTATCTTCAAACTTCATCGACCAAATCTGTAATTATCATTTCTCTGCTAAATTCATTATTTTCGTGGCACTGAGTAATGCTCTATATATTTCAAGGTGAGAAAATTTCTCTGAGCTCCAGAGAAGATTTAGGCCACAATTTTCCTCTCTAAAGAACACTGATTAGGGTCAGATGACTTATACCGGCATAATGTTATAGTAAGTCACTTCATAAAAATCCCTTGATGTCACAGTTTACCAAGAGATGAATTCTGTATCCTGAGTGCTTTCAACAATACGGCCTGCTTTTCCTGCTCTTCTTGCTCGGAATTTGTTAAGTAAAATGTTGTGTTCTGAACTTCGGTAAGCCTTTTATTGTTAGCAAGTGTTACCTGTTGGTGATAGGAATAAGGTAGGGGGACGGGAGGTCGAGGGGTTCTTAAAAGCTATTATTTTGAATTATCAAATTGAACAGAAAGAAAAATTTAAGCATAATTCTCGGCAAGATGCCATGGGTGACGGTCATGATCAGAAGCATAATGATCAAATTTTCGCGCATAATTTATGTGAAACTTGCTTTGCTACACATGGGTTAAAACTAACTTTTACTCGTGTACTAGCTGATCCATTTTGTAGGAGAAATAAAGTTCTTCTTCTTATTATTATTATTATTCATCACACTGACTGGCAAATATGCACAAGTGATAATGCAACAATAGAAAGCAAAAATTAATTATATGCGTGATGTTTTTTCTGTTTTGTTTTTTTGTAATTTTTTTATTTCAGTGATGATGAATCAAACCCTTTTGATAGGCCAATTGAAAAAAACAACGACCAAAAATGTGAAAAAGCACTCCGCCTTCGGTCTCTTGCTTTCACCAGTTTCCTCGTGTTTAGAAAACCTGATAAAACACTGCCTCGTTTATGAATTATTACATCACAATCGAGAACGGACCAAAAAGAACCAAATTTAAATCTAATTCATTTATTGCAAACAATAGTATCATAACTGTATCAAATGAATCAATATCATTCAATTTCAATCTTACTGTCCTCTTCAAACCGAGTCCAAAAGATGTAATGTCGGATATACTTCCTTGACATCAGAACTAGTAAATTTAAAAGGACTTGTGTCTGGTTCACTAAGAATTTCCAACAGCTATGGAAGCAATGGTCGTCCACCGCTACAAAGACTGCAATTGCGTAAGTAATGCTATCTTCGATGTGACACTCGAAGGAGTCCCAGGTTGATAGCGATGAACCAAAAACCTGCATATCATTGCCTAATTATATAAGTAGTGATCGATCAATCTGCTAAGCGTTTGTTGAGTCTTTTATTCGAATAAACGCCGCATCATAATGCGGGGTTTATTCGAGGACGGCGTTCATTAATATTTTTGCCTTAAAATGCGGCGTTTATTGGAGGGCGGCGTTTAATCGAATAAATACGTATGAAACATTAGTCAGTACGTGCTTCACTAGTGAACCGATAAGGATATCAAACTGTTAACTCGCGTGTGATTGCGAGTATAGTATCATTTTGCTCGACAGTTTTCTTATTAAGATTCTTATTTAACATGGTAACTGACAATATGTCTTACGAGGTTCTATAAAGGACGTTAATAGACTTGTCATTTTTTAAAGGAAGATATTTCATGGGGAACATAAAGCATTCGCGCAAAGTAACCATCGGTGTATGGCGAAGCTTCTCCATGATGCTATCTTCCATTTCCTCAATGTAACACGTTATTGCTCCGATTCAGTTAGATACTCAGTGAGACAATTATTAGGACATTAGCGGAAACTATGGCTTCAACTAATTTGATGGACGGAAGGCACGAAGAAACTTGGATCACAAAAGCGTCTTCTTTCATTATTATGCCTTGCTGCTAAAACATCTAAAGCATTCTGTCTCTGATAAAATTCACCTCTAACCCTATCTAACTCTCACGAACTACGATTGCAAAAAAACATACGCACTTATATGCTCAATCGGTCGGTTTATCTTAACCTCGGAAGTTGACACCACACCTATGCTTTATAAGAGATAGCGGCACAGAGACCGCGTGATAAACAATCTGGAGCACTGAAGGATTAAATTAGACCCTGGATAAACTCCACAATCAGTAAAAACTCAAGAAAAAAAAGGCTTAAAGTCTCATGCAAACAAATCACTTAAAATAATGATGATTATAGAAAAATCACATCTAGAGATCAACAAGAAATACAAAAATAATATTCTTAATTTTAACTACACAACACAAGTCTACAATTTGCATCCTTCAAACACTTGAACAAATATTTGAAGATGAAAATCTATCACATCGCCTAATGATCAGTGTGCATCAAACAATTTTTAGAATCCATTTTGAATACATGGGTCGAATATCTTAATCGACCAAAGGACAAAAGAACATTGAGACTTGAGGAAGAAATTAGCTTAAACAAACTCGCTGAGCGGAAAGTACCAGGTGTCTTGGATCACAAAAGCTTTCTTCTTTAATGTATTATACCGTGCAAAAATATCACTCTTAATTCAAACTGCTCAACACAAGTCTCAAATTCTGTGCCTTTAAAAGACATTAATAGAGTTTGGAGATGAAAATATTTTGCACCGCCTCAGTGATCAAACAAACCGTGTTTAAAAAGTTTTTTTCTATTTTAAAATTGATTCAAAATACATGAATACTGTAATCAATCAAAGGAGCAAAGAATTTTGGGAAATTAGAAAGAAACTAGCTTAGGCAAACTCGCTGAGCGGAAGGCACTAAGATTCTTGGATCACAAAGCTTTCGTCTTTGATGTATGATGCCTTACTGCTGCATCGTCTACAGACAGTATTTTCTCTCTAATTAACTCCAACTGTAACTGTCACTCTATCTGCAACTACTTTCGACTACAACTCCACCTACAACTTTTTACTATTAACAAAAGCTACGTGCCTATATTCTAATTTAGTTGTTTTCTTATAACCCTGGGAGTTATTATTAAGAAGATATTTCATACATGCCTGCGAAGATTTTTACAAAGAACACAAAATATTCGCGCAAAGTAGCTATCGGAGTATGGCGAAGCTTCTGATCCTCGCTGCTTTCTTTATTTTTCTTATCCAAACCAGGAGCCAGTTCAGTGGGAACAACTACGAGTCCTCAACAACAAAATTCACAAACTGGCGCTGACAAAGACCCATTTGAGGTACACTTGGCGATTAAAGCTCGATTATTTATTTTAAAAAATCGCGGTTTTCCTCTGTTTACATCAGGAATCTTTCAATTGTGAAATCTTTACCACACGTGTCTGCCAAGCTAATTGCTATTAAAAGACAAAATTGGCATCTGAAAAGAATTTTCTGTATATGTGTTTTACACTTATTTAAGTTTTGGAAAATGAATAGAAATAACATATCGTCATAAGCCATTCACTAAAAAAAAATACAATAAGCTGGTTGATTCACACTGGGGATTTTTGACATTTTTTTGACCACCCCACCTGTTTTTGGTCACGCGCGCAAAGATTTGTGGGTAGCGCACAGGACCATTCAACACTGGACTTTGAAGAGATCTGGTACCTACATGTGACTCCCACCAGGTTTGTGTTGTCCGCCATTTGCAAAACAACAAGGTAAGCTTTAATTTGATACCAAATTCGACTATTTTAGAGACGTGTTCGATTTTTTCTCTTTATCTAAAAGTAGAAGATGATTAGTATGACTTTTTGGAGATTTTTGGCTGTGTTTGAGGTTAATTTTACCGCTTTTAGTGTTGATTTACGCTAAATGAAATCGATAGGATTTTAGCCTGTTGTATTGACTATTTACACGGAAAATTTGGCTGACATTGTTCTTGTTTTACCAAAGTTACACCGGCGAGATGTCGGGGACCTCACGTTTTCCCATTGGAGAGTGGGCACGGCAAAGGAAGGAGAAACGACAGGTTTTAGTTGAAGCGAATAAGTCTATTCAAGACTTGGAGGGAAAAATTACAGAGCTAAAGAGAAAGGTACGTAATGTTGTGAAAATAATCGATCTTTGGTTTTGTGATTACCTACTGATACTCAGATTATTTTCATCGAAGGAGACTTTTCGATTTAAAATGCAAAATATCAAGATTAGAAGTGTAAAATAGTTTTAGGGAGCCACCTGTTCAATTATTTGTTTTACAAATATGATATTGCATGCTGATAAATATCATGATTAATGAATAAGATGGTGAACAAATTTGTTTTCAAAATATTTATGAGTAATTTCTTAGAGATCGATTTTGTAATAAAAACAAACTACATGTAGCAATGCACTTGTGCACAAAATTTGTGCAGAGCCATAATTATAGCAAATCAGTATTTTGGTGTTTTAAATGACATAATCAATTTATTATTTTAGTGTTTACAATTTTAAAATCACATTTTCACCTCTTGCTTTTTTCCTCTCTCTATAGCGAGGGTTATTAGAAAATGAAATAGTGCACCTGCCAAGAGGACAACATGTTGTAACACCGACCACTCTAGATGAAAACAACAGTGACAAGTGTGTTGGTTTGTCACACAACATTTCAGCTAAGAGAAGAAAGCTTACGTATGATTGTGCCAAGAAAGTTCACTCTACGCCAAGTACAGAACCTGAAGGTCAATGTGCAACTGCCAATGGACTTTGGAGCACCTTGGTTAAAAACTGTAAAACTAAAGTAGTCATTGATGTACTGAAAAAGTCAAAAACTGTTTGTAAAACAGTTGTCCCACAGATTGTGGCTAAATCTGTAGCTAAATTTGAAAAGTCCTCAACAAATTTTCTCAGGTCTGTAAGTGTGCTATACAGGGGTGGAATTCTTAGTAAGAGAAAATATTGTAATATAAGATCTTCAGAAGTCTTTGATTATGACATCCCAACAAAGAAGCGAAAGCGCACAGAGTTTAAAGAGGGTTGTAGATTACCTGCACTTGTACCTTACAAGGAGCTGATGAAATTTATAGAGGTACAAGATATTGGAAAACTTCATAGCATACCGCAGGCTACAATAAGCTGGTTGATTTATTATTTCGTATTTCCTAACGGTTTTATTTTACGAGTAGAGGAATTGTTATCTTTTCCTACTGTTTCTTGAATTTGACACGGAGAGAGATGTTCAGGTTTCCTAGTAACTGTAATTTGTAATAGAATATTTCCATTATCTTGCGACAAGCTCAGTATATTTCAATTATGTTTATCAGGTCGAGCGTACGCCCTTCGTCAGAGAAACTACTGGAAAGAGTTTTTCTTACGGGAATTTTATGCAACATTAGGGAAATATTCACTGCTCCGTGATTTTTTCCTTCCAGAAATCCATATTTGCTCGATTTTTATCATTATTAATACCTCTTACCGAAGCAAGGGTCAACTAACGAATGCTATCAGCTATTTCCTAGATAAAACACGTTATTACGTCAGTTTAATTAGATGCTAAGTGAGACAAGTATTTGAATGTAAGGGGGAAATAGCTTGAGCAAACTGGGTGGAAGGCACCATGAATATTGGATCCCAAAATCTTCTTATTGTATGTAACATGTCTTGCTGCTACAACTCTCGCCCAAGCTAACCACAATCACCAAAAGAAATGCAAAGATATTCTCACTTGGTTGTGTTTTCTTAACCTTGGAAGTTGACACCACACTGGTGCTCTATACGAGATCGCGGCACATAAGACTGTGTGAAAAATAATCTGTAGCATTGAAAGCTTAAATTCTAGAGATGAATTCTGTTATCCGATAACACTAACAGATGCGACCCTTACGCTGATAAAAAACCTTTAAGTCTTGTAGAAAACTGAAACACATACAATGTGGGTAATTAGTAGAAACATCAATTTCGAGAAAATACCAAAGAGACACAAAAATATCGTTGTTAATTTTAACTTCACAACACAAGTCTGTAAATAGCGCCATTAATACACAAAAGCAGATTTTGGAGATAAAAATATATCTCACCGCCTCAGTATGAGCATGAATGGTGTAATCGACCACAGAAAAAATAAACATGATATCAGGCGCTTCAGAGCTCGCAGAAACGCTTTCCTGAACATCAGAGGACTTGACCGCCTTTATCCTGCCGCAGTTTGTTAATTACAGCACTGTTAACTGTGATATTGAAAAGCGTGAATGGTACATTGTCACAGACCAACTGGAAACAGTGTATGTGGAAGAATCTGAATGCTAAGGACAAATGAACATCTGATTGCGAGAAATGCCGCCAAACTAAAATATCAATTAACAATTCTGTGCATTCTAGCAGGTAGGAAAAGTACAAGGGCATCATCAAATTCTTTCCTATGACACTCTTATCAAAAATTTCTTTTGCACTAAGACTGACTTCTTGGCATTTTTTATAGGATTGTTCATTCAACAAGCTGCATGCGGTCTGATACAGCTATTAAAGTCTCATTCCAGCGAGATAGCGGCACATAAGACTTACGAAATATAATCTGAAGCATTAAAGGCTTACATTCTGGTTATAATTATAGGTTATTTCACGGCTTGTGAACGCGTACGATTTTTATTCACAAGTTTTGTAAAACAAACATGATATCAGGCGCTTCAGAGTCTGCAGAAATGCTCTCCTGAACATCTAAGGGCTTGACCGCTTTTATTCTGCCACAGTTTGTTAATTACAACACTGTTACCTGTGATATTTAATAATGCCAAAAAATTCTTGTAAGTTGCCCAAATTGTTATGAAACAGTCGAAGAGAAACACGAGTCGTACGATAAACTAACATAGGCCTACATATGAAATAAATATATTCTTACATGTGAATCTATTATATGAGCCCATAAAACATATAAAAAGAAATATACAGCTATCTCCGCCATTTCGACGGCCGAAGATATCAATGATACGATCCCTTGTTGACTACAGAGTTAGCATATGCCCTTTCAGTGTTGATAAGTGCGATGTTACTGACACGTTGTTGCTCCATGGTGGTAAGAGGTAAATTTTCAATCAAGGCAACGGACTGAATGATCGTTCTGTGGAACACGATGTAGTAGGTATCACTACAAGAATATGTAGCACTTTATTCGGAAAACTCCGGGAACGTATCAAACAGAACCTTCTCCTGTATTGCCCTTAGCAGTTCTGAAATAGTCATGTAGCCTAATCCGCGCACACAGCGAAAACTTGCGTACATTTTCTGCTCGGCTTCCCGTCGATTTTGTAAAATTTAGCAACGCGGGAGAAGCTTTCTTTATCAGGTGTTTTACTGGGACAGATGTTTCCCAAAGCACAGATTATTTCTACTTAACCTGGGCTCAAGCTCGGGCAGCACCTTGGTGATGGATGTATAGTAATTGTTCATACTGTGGTGTGATTCCGGTGTCAGCTGCGTTTGTCTTTGAGCGTGATCACTTTCAAGGTCTTCAAGGCTGCGCGATGGCGTTTGCCTGAGTGCCCTGACTTCTCGTAATTCAAACTGAGAACTGGTAAACCGCCTCTTAATTTTCAGAACTCTTACTGACACTAAAACTACTGACACTAAAACTTTCCTCACTGGGACACTGGCGTAGGGTCTCAATGGTCATATCGGCATTTCTACGAGTGGAAATGACGTCGACCGTCTTCCCCTGAAGATATCGGCACAGACTATCAGTGTTGCTCAGCACGCACAGTCCGGAGATGAATTTAACTGGCTTTACCACACCGACTTAAGCTTAAAATAAAAAAACATCTCTTTCGAAGACAAAAAGACAAAAGAAAGGAAACATGGAAACTTTTGTAAAAATTGGCCTCGCCCAAATTTCCCTTGCTGCCCAAAAATTCTCAGCTGCCCAGACGCATATAGTTTCAGTTAAATTTTATATCAGTCAGACGGGTTTGCAATTTGTACCATCATTAAAAAAAGCCAACAAATCTTGAACACGAAAATCTAACACACCACCTCACGATAAGTTTAGATCAAACATGCGGCGTTTAAAAAGGTTTATACTATTTTGGAATGGATCCAATGACATGAATACCGAAATTGAGCGAAGGACAAATGAACATCACATCACAGACCACATCGAACTTTCCTTCTCAACATGTCACGTTTGATTAGAAAAGGAAAATTTTGTGGCCAATATTTTTTTGCCTAATTTCTCTCAATCTGAGTGAAACATTGGTCTATTGGTCAGAACGTGCTTCATTAGTGAAATGATAAGGATAACACAGTCAAGTTGTTTACCCGGTGTGTGAAAGCAGACATCCTTATCATTTAGCTCCAGGCTTCTTAATAAAGATTGTTATTTTAACATGGAAACTGACAGTTTGCATTTAATGAAATTCAGTAGGATATAAATAAGCACGTACATAAGGAGATATGTTACAGCGACCACAAAGCATTCGCGCGAAACAACCATCGAAGTATGGCGAAGCTTCCGATCCTCGCTGCTTTGTTATCTTTCTCATGCAAAACAGGAGTAAGTTCCATGGGAACAACCACCAGTCCTCAACAACAGAATCCACAAGCTGGCGCTGACAAAGACCCATGTGAGGTACTCTTAAGCATGCTTTGTCCACGATTATTTACTACAAAAATCGCATGTACTTCATGACGACGCGTCCATTTGTCATAACTCAGTTTACCACTCATGTCTACCAAGCTAAGCCCAAGCAAATCCCTCATCAATCATAAGTTTTCAAATTAACAAATAGATTCCAAGTTGTCGGGCGTCTGTTCAGTAATAGACCACAGATGACGTCAAAATGTGGTAAGAACAAAAAAGAAATTTTTATCTCAGTATCTTGTAAAATAGTCTTGAAATCCTCTAGAAGTATTAAATGAACACAAGAGATTCATAGCGTGATCACAAATTAAAGGGAAAATGTTTCTCATGGAATTTCACCTTTGAATCAACATTTTTAAATTAGATAGTAAAAAACTAGTCTCTTTTTATGGAAATATATTTTCTCCATCCTGGAAGTCTTTTGGATTTGGTGGTACATCTGGAAGTGTGTGTGGAAAAATCTAGATTAGAGAAGTGGAAAGATTAAGTACAGAAATATTTAGAAAAAATGTCAAAGGGTCAGTGAAAGCAAAGACAGCCAAACTAAAAATATCAATTAACAATTCTGAGCATTCAAGCGGGCTGGAAAATCACCATCATTTTTAAAACATATTTGTCAAAAGATGAGATGAAAAATTGCAGTCCATTAACCAAAACCATTACTATGGCCTAAATGCCTTTCTTCAAGTTTAACGGAAATGAATGCAGTGGACCAATGACAATTGTATTACAACAAGCCAGAGTTTGATCACAGATCATTTTACTGGAGAGTTTGAAAGGTAGGACAACTTCTAACTGGGTGATGCTTACACTGGATGGGAATCAATCCCGGATAATGATAAGGAATTATTTAATCAGCTTTGTCATCTGTTGGAAAAATTCATTTTTTTTCTCTTTCACATATTTTCCATACCACCCAAAAATTGAAGTTACTGTTTGTCACAAGTACTTTTTTGCCCTGATAATGTTGGATGTTATGAGGATTCCTTTATTCCAATTTAAATTTTTGCTTCTTTTTAATTACATGTACTTTTCTTTGTACTTTCCAGTTTAAGCTATGTACCGATAGATACTTTCGTCTCCTCCGGAAAAAATTTCACTGAATTATTTTAAGTCTGTCCCTGCATTACAATAAAACTGTTTGACATGTGTTAGTCAACAAAATGATAGTTTCTTTAATCATTAGTGATTCAACTGTACGTGCTTCTTTGGATTTTTGGTTACATTAAAAACCATATATCATCTTTATCTCAGTATCTTGTAAAATAGTCTTGAAATCCTCTAGAAGCATTAAATGAACACAAGAGATTCATAGCGTGATCACAAATTAAAGGGAAAATGTTTCTCATGGAATTTCACCTTTGAATCAACATAAACTCCCTTTTCTCCCTTTTTCCCCTAATCCAATCCAATTAGGTAAGTTAATAGAACATATTATTCCCATTTTCCTGTTTAATCCTTTCTAACTCCTAATCCTTAGTCACAGAGGCTTGTTTTGGAACCAGACAGTTTATCAAATGTATAAATCCGTAAAAAACACATTAGACAACAAACAAAAAATGCGCCGAGTGCATTGAACACGAAAGAAG